AGAATTTCTTTCACATAGAACTGAAAATCCACATCCTTTCTCTTCATTGCCATCTACTTTCATGATTCGCAGCTAAACTGGAAGGAAATAAAATTTTGGAGTTTTAGCTGACCCCATGTAGATCCATCTGCTCTGCAAGAACACATTTTTTTAAAAAATTATAGGAGCCCCATTCACTGTTTAAAAAAAAAGACAGCACTCATGCCAGTTGTTCAGTATAGTGATGGGAAGACACAAGCAAAGAACAGTTTCATTTAATGGAAGTCATTATTGTACCAGTATTTTATTGTATGACGTTTATCATCAACAGAGAGATGGATTATGCACCAACCATTAAAACAGTCAACTACTTTGCTTTGGGATTTTAGCTAATGGGAGCCATGGCCCCCCTTTTTTTTCACTTATCCATACAACAAATATTTATTGAATGCCAACTACATGTCAAGAGTAGTAACTAGATGAACTGGTAACTGAGGATACAAAATTAGAGAGGGTGCACACTTGGAGGGTGTATAGCACACTCAGACAGAAATATGCCTCATTAAGGGAAAATACTATGAGAAAAAATGCTTATCTGGTGACTCAATCTAAGCACTAGAACATTGATTACCTTTGCAATTTTGGGATAGGTTGAATTGATTCAGATAGCTATCTATGATAATACTTGAGAGATTATTTGTAATTGTAAAGTTAATCAAAAGATTGGGAATGCCTAAATTCACATTGATGAACAAGAACAATAGTTTACCATTGAGTTAATTTAAATATAGCTAAATGACAGATTGATGAAGAGGAATAGAGTAAGTAAAAATGCTATATCATGGTGTTTGGGGATTAACTTCCAATCCAACCTTACTACAGATTAGTGAATTATTTCTCTTCAGCTCTGGATTCTTTTCTTCCTCACTCAAATTCTACTGATTGCTATTCCTGTTGCAGCCTGGTCTGGCTGCGGCTTTGTATCCAGGCACTTGTTGCCAATTTCAGAGAATTCTGGTTTTTGTTTTGCAAGCGTACAGGTTCAGATATTATGCAACAGGGTTCCTGTCAATTTTATTTCTCAGGATATTTGCTTTGTTAAGTAAGCTTGACAAAATGCTTGCCAATATATATTCATTAGCTGGGAATAGTTTCTCAATTTGCATATTGCTGATGCCTTCTATCTGTTTCTATTCTGAATGTTCCCGAAGCCTCTGTAGGAAAAATAACATATGGGTTGCACTGGAATGGGAAAAGAATTCTCCCATTGCACAGAAATTACAGGTCCACAATTCTTCTTTCATCTCTTAACCTTTAGACACCATTCTGTTTGGGCATCACCAAAATTCTGGGAGCTCGTGTTCTCACAGGGATTATGTATTTATAATGCAGGTATGCACAAAATGCTGTGAGATTAAGGAGGGGGTAATTAATTGCTCTAGGGGTTGAGGGTCCATGGAAGGCTTCACAGAGGAGCTAAATCTTGAGAAAAGACTAAGTGTTTGCCAGGAAAAGAAGTGTAGAAGGACTTTCAGATAAAGAGGAAAGACATTGAGGGGGTAAACTTTCATTACAGTTAATTCAGTAATTATTTTTAAGAAATTGTAATCTAGTTTACTCTGGTTCTACTACCAAAGATGAAGGGCAATCCTGGAAAATGATGAAATTGAGCTGCAACTTAACTTTGTTTTTTTTTTTGGTCGGCACCTGAGCTAACAATTCTTGCCAATCTTCTTTTTTTGTATTCTTCTTTTTCTCCCCAAAGCCCCCCAAAACATAGTTGTGTATTCTAGTTGTGAGTGCCTCTGATTGTGTTATATGGGATGCCACCTCTGCATAGCTTAATGAGTGGTGAGATGTCTGTGCCCAGGACCTGAACTGGTGAAACCCTGGGCCGCCAAAGTGCAGTACGTGAACTTAACCACTTGGCCACGGGGCGGCCCCTCAATTTAACTTTATGCATCTATTTCATTTCACAAAGACCAGCTTTCCTGAAAAGCTATTAAACTCCTTTCCACATCAAACTGCATCAGCCCTACATCCTCATTCACTCAGGACACGTGCTTTAGCTTTCCAACGCAACAATTCTCTATTTCAAAGGGTCCAAGATAAAACCTTAATAACTGATCACAGCTGATACAATACTCTTTCCAGGAAGGATAATATTTTAACAGGTTGATCTTAAATGCAAAAAAGGTTTAATGACTCTTTATTTGTGGAATTTCAATCATTTTGGTAGATTGGTGGGGATATATTTTAGTACAGTGACTTTAATGTCTATGTCACAGCATAGAGAGAACTGTGTGAAATATTATCCCCTCTTTGAGTAATCAGACATTAATGTTGTTTTTTAGCCACAGTAATCTTTGTTCCATTTGCCCTTTATAATCAAGATTATACTTTTCCCAGTCTATGAGGAACTGATTTCACTGGAAGCTGGAATATCTTTTTCAGTCTTAATTTGTTTTAAAACTAGGGAGAGGGATGGCAATTAAAAAAAAAAATGCAGAGAAATATTTTTACTCATTTAGCTGAACAAGATTGTGTTAAAAGAGGTTTTTTCTTTTGTAATCAGGCTTTAAAAAATGGTAATTTACCTAACTTTTCTCATTTCTGTGAAAAGCTTTCCATCACTGTTCTGGTTTCCTTCCTAGTAAGTGAAAATGTAATGAAAATTCATTAATTAAATTTTCTAATAAGATTCTGTAGCTATTGGCCCTATATTCTAGGGAAACCATAAGTCCCTAATTACAGTTTATCAATTGCAATTAAGTCTTTCAACTATTCCCTTGATGTAGTCGGGAAAAGGAAAAAGAGTTGCTAATAAATTTTAGAAAAGATTGAAAGCTCTTTCTGTGGCTGTCAAGGGCCCGCTATAGGCTTATGGGAGAAAATCTTAACCCATGTTCGGGAAGTCTTTGTCACAGAGGAGCCCCTATTTCCCTGAGACAGTCAGTCTCAGGACTTGGGTTCCTTGTGTAGAGACACTTGTTGCTGCTGGGAGTTGGGTTGGTCTGAGGCACGATGGCTGTGACTGCTTTTGTTGACTTTGGGTCTACAGTGTAGAGGCTCTGGCTGAGCATTTGCATTCTCAACGGTCCCAGTTTCAGTTACCCAGAGTTAAGCACCTGGGTGAGGCAGAGAGTGGGTGGAAGACGGTCGCTATAACCCACAGAAGCAGGACAAAGATGAGATGTGGTCTTCAGTGTGAAGGACTGAGACGGAGTGCAGGCGGTCAAAGGGATAATCCAGCAAAGCTCCTTGGAGCCGTGCTGTGAGCCTGGACAGCAGTCAGGGTTTTTCAGCTGTGGCCTTTCTGGTGTGACTGCTGTTTCTTGCTTATGAGGTCCAGTGGATGTCAAGAGCCCTCTGTTTAACTTCTTCTTATCTGGTCCCTTCAGTTTCAGTATCTGCGAACTGGAACACTGTTTTGGTTTTTGTATCTGAAAGGATTCTAAGTGCCTCACTCCTGGTATCTTGCCTCTTCCTCATGTGATGCCTGAGGGTTAGACAGCATTCTGGTTATCTATAGCTGTGTAACAGCAAACCACACAAAACTGAGATGCCTAAAACTCTCACAACACTTTCTTTTTTCCTCACAAATCTATGACTTGGTAGGGACCAGTGGGAACAGCTACTGTCTTCTCCATAGTGTTAGCTGAGGCTGTTTGAGTGGGGAGCGGGAAGACCTACCTTCAAGATTTCTTGCTCACCTGGCTGTTGCCAAGGAGCTCAGCCAGGCCTATGGGCCCAGTGATTTGATTCTTGCCACGGACTGCTTGGGCTTCCTCAAAACGTGATGGCTGAATTTCAAGGGAACAAGGCAGAAGCTGAGCGATCTTTTCTAATCTAGCCTTGGAAGCCACTCAGTGTCACTCGTTGCATTCAATTTATGGAAACAGTCACAAGTTTGGCCAAATTTGAGGAGACAGTGACATGGAATCCTCTCTGTTAGGAGAGTGGCTAGGTCCCAGAAAGAGCTATTATTATGGCCATCTTTGGAAAATGTAATCTTCCACTGATAGGGACCCTGTTCATAAGGTACCTGGTGCTTTGTATTCTCTCTAAGTCCTACCAGGCTTCAGGCTCCTGCTTCCTTCATGGAGCCTTCTGAATATACTGAAGCTCTCACCAAACTTTCCTTCTGTGCCACTGTCTACCGAAAACTTGACAGCTGGATCACTTTTTTAAAATTAATTTTAAATTCGCTTGTAGACTAGTTTTCTCATCTGTAAAATTAAGCAATGTGGAATAATCTCACAGGCCCCTTGAGCACTAAGATTCTCTCTCTCTCTGCATCTTTCTTGGTATTAAGGAGATTATATAGACAATAGGTATTATGCACTATGCAACAACTGGCTTGTACTCTTCAAAATGTCAGTGTCATGAAAGACAAAAGAAGGCAGAACCATTCCATATGAAAGGAGGCTAAAGAGATATGACAACTGAATGCAATGCATGATCCCAGATGAAATCCTGGATATAGGAAAAATGCTATAAAGAACACTGTTGGCATGATTGGAAAATTCAAATACTATATATAAACAACAGGCATTAAGCAAATATGCATCAAATTTACATAAGTTTAATGTGAATATATTTGAATTTCAATACTTACAGTGGCATGATTGACGTTACAGCAATCATAAAAATCAACACTTGTTTATATTCCAAATAAATCAATCCCCACCAATCAGCAACGAGGCCTATCAAGATAGGCATATAAATGGAAAATGTTTAACCAAATATTCTCCTTCAAATAGTGAGGACCTTTAGTGCTCCAGTGGCAGTTAAGCTCAGGGTTTCCTTGCCTTCATCTGACTTCCTTGCCAACCATGAGAGCCTGCCACCCCTGCGGGCAGTATAGACATGAAGAGAGAGCACTCAGCTTCTGCTTTAGCACTGATTGCCCACATCGCAGCCTGCACCATCCTTGCTGACTCCCTTTGGACTCAAGACTTTGCCCAAGTCTTGTCTGTTCCATTAGGTTCTATTCCTTTGTCTCCCTGGTTCTAAAGTTGAACAGGTCCCTTTCTCCTAACTGAAAGTCCTCTCCTTCACTCTAGAGAGGAGGTCTGTTGAATTCCACGTGATGGGGAAGCCTTATGAGTTGTAGATCTTCGTTGTCCTGTTTCTGTAAGTGTCAGCATCAGGTTCAAAGAAGAAGAATTCAAACAGTCTCCCACCCGCTCCAGCCTCCCAGATAGCAATTCAAATCTTTAACCTGTGTCTGTCATAAATATTAAAAGTTTTACATATTAAGGGAATCTTACTTATTTCATGACTAGAGCAACCCTTGTATTCACCTTTCTGTCTTCCACAACTGTCTTGCTCATCACTGGCTCCCAGACTGATTTCACATCCTGCTGCCTCCCAGGCTTTTTCTGTCCTGTCCTCTTTTTCCCTCCCTCCTCTCTTTCCCAGCCCTTTATTATGAAGCTCAATTTGGTTTCCTTCCTACATTTCCCCGCTCCCCCTCCTGTCATTTGGGCTGTTTTCCCATCCGTTTCGGATTCTGTCTGGCATTTGTAAGTACAGGAACTGTTCTGGGAGCGATAAATGGAGAGAGAGGAAGGGGGAAAGAACTAGCAAACACTAGACTCTTTTTCTGAATGGGAGGAGAGAAGGAGACTGGAGACATATGTTAATCTTTTTTTTTTCCAACTCCATCAAAATAGCTAATTAAAAACCACCACATAAAAGGCATGAATGAATGTTTCCACCATAATCAAGGTGCAGAAAAGATCATATTCACTTTTTTTTCTTCATCAAGTCAAATCTGATTTGGAGCTCACCTTTTCAAGAACAATGAGATGCCCAATATCAATCATGTTTCTGTGGCTTCCTCCCCTTGCCATCTACTTCTCTTTACGTTATACCAGGATCCTGAGATTTCATCATTCAGAAAAAATGAGAGAGAAGAGTTAGCCATTGATGATGGATTCCACTGACATTCTCTCTGTCCAGGCTGCTGTGAGGTTTGGGGGGCAACCATGTGGCTCTTCTGGCCACATCCACTGAACCCTGTCCCTCCATGCTACATCCATGGCCCCAGGGGCCCTCACTGTTGCTTCAGAGACCACGTCACTTAGCATCCAGCCTCCGGGAGTGTTCCCTTGGCCTCTTCTATGCCCAGTCTTGTTTCTGGAGCACTGGAAACAAAAGGGCCACATTTTCATGCCACTCGCAGAATCCACAAACCAGGTGTTGCACATGCCTTCAGAGGTCAGTCCCTTAATGTAAATGAGTAACCTCAGTACAAGCCAATAGGGAGTTATGGGGACCGTGCTGAACTGAATAGCGAATATTCTATCTAAGTACGCATCCAATGCTATCAGCTTTTATTTTTCAAGAGGAACTGGAATTCAAGATTTTCACATGAAATCTCTTGTTTTAAAGTTGCTGCCAACTAGCTAAAAAATTGTAAGTATGTGGGGGTCAAATCTAACATGTTCATGACCAATACGAGCCTCTCGCCTTCACTGGCAGTTTGCAAACTCTGAGCCCCAGAACAAGTTCCCCTTTTTGGAAATGGGCCCCTTCCTACTTGTGATTAAAACCATGCCTGCCATTACTTTCCCATCTTGGCAAATCCAGATTGATTGTTTCAACTGGCTTAGGCTAGACTTGGACTAAGGGAAAAAGCCTGTCTTAGAGTTGCCTTCTGTGGAAGGGCCGTTACTCTTTGTTTCAGCTGTTAACTGAGAACAATCTCTCCCACATCCCTCACACCCCCCCGGGGTGTAGCGAACTCAGACATCAAAAACCCCAAACTCAGGTGCCTTTATTCTATATGTTTTATTGTAAAGTAGAAAATAAATGTGATTTAAAAACACATGTGTAGTGTTTATGGAATGATAATTAGTCAACACTTAAGTAACCTGTCCAGAAAACAAAATGTACTCCAGAAGTCTCCTGTGTCCTAGCCTGATCTCCTCCCCATTCTCCTCCAGAATAGTAACCATGATTATGAATCTTGTGATAATTATTCCTTTGCTTCTCTTAATAGGTTTGTTACCTAAATATGTACTCTGAAATATATTGCATAGTTGAATTTACTTTGAACTTGGCATATCTCAGATTAGAATGCATGCATCCTCCTGTGATCCGCCTCTTTGGTCAACATTATGTTTAAGGGATTTATCCATGTTATTGAATATAATCGCAAATTATTTCTTCTGCTGTGTGTCATAACTTATTTCTCCATTCTACTGCTGATGCACATTTGGGTTGCTTCCAGCATTTTGCTGCTATTAACAATGCTGTGTAAAAATTATTGTACATTCTCTCCTGGGGTACATGTGCAAGTCTTTTTAGGGAATGCTGTAGAGTGAGATTACTGGCTTGTGGGATGGGTGCATGTTCTATTTTGCCATTTACGGTTTTCCAAAAGCGGTTTTGCCAAAGTGGTTGTTTTCTCCAAAGTGTTTTCTATGGTTATTGTGCCAATTTACATCCCATTGGCAGTGTATAAAACTCTTGTTGCTGCGCATAAATTATTAGGCCATATGTTGACATTGTCTAACTGAAATTTTATTTTTACAGTGAATCCAGCTAATATAAAGGGCAAGACACCAGCAAAGTTTTCACCAATACACTCTATTATAGGTGGTCTTACACAGGAGAAGTCAGATTTTGGAGTTTTCAAGAATCCAATTTCTCCTTATTTTGATCTTAAATGATCCCAGTGTGCTAAAAATACTCCAGAGATTCTTAGAGTATATAGATCCCTCTTCAATATTAAGAAAATAAAGAGAAAAGTTTTTTGTCATGATGGATTGGAAGGTAAATTTTTCCTTTTTGGTGATAAAGCTATTCATTCTAATTCCCTCTTGATATTATAAACTTTGATCACAAATTGTGCAATTCCACTCTTACCTCATGAACAACTCTCTCTTAATGATGTAGGAAATTTTTATGTTATTCTATTAGTTTTGATTGACAACTTAGTCTTAATGTTATGAAAAGTCATACAAAATGCAAAATAAGTGGATCTCTTCTAAATCTCAAAAGATTTAATTTTTCACATATTTGCATGTAAAGTGAGGAATGCAAAGTCTTTAAAACATGTATTAAATCTACATTTTTGATCTTCTTCCAGGTATGCAACCCAATTACTGAAAATCAATTCTCCTTAATCAGAAAACAGAGTTAATTCCTGACACTGGCCTTGCCATGATGTGATATTTGTAGAGAATTAAAATATCATGATAACACAAATCATTCTGACTTGTGGGATTTCTAACAAAAAGATTAAAACTGCATTCTGCAGCCACGCAAATTAGCATAGACCTCTTCTACAGCCTCAGACACAGGAACAAAACAGGAGCAGTTCTCAATAAAACTAAACTGTTGAAAATAGGAAGGCAGAACTCAAAACAGTAAATAGGAGCCTTCAATTCTTTGTTTCCGTAAGCTGCTGAAGCTGAGCCCCCTGGTGCATCACTGCAAGTACTGCTATGTACAGAGATGGCCATTGGAAGTCCAAATGGCTGATTGTTTTCAGATTCACATAAAAAGATTGAGGTCTTATAAGGGTCTTTGTCATCTTGGTACATGTGATATCATTCTTTCTATTTGCTAGGAAGACATGAATGGAACTGTATCAAGAAGGATTATACACTGTGCAGAGATAAACCAAGGAAAAAGAACTCACAGCCCATACTCTTAAAAGTTTATATCAATGAGGATACATGAGTTCAAAATATGTTATATGCCTTAGAAAGATGCAAATGTACTTTACTAATTGGTCACATATACGTACTAGCTAAGGGCTAATAGAGTTACTTAGGAAGCCAAAAAAATATATTTAATTATATGTTTCTGCTCTGCCTATACCATTAAGAAAGAAAAAATGTTCTACTTACAGTTGTTCCAGCACCATTTGTTGAAGAGACTATCTTTGCTCTATTGTATTGCCTGTGCTCCTTTCTCAAAGATCAGTTGACTATATTTATGAGAGTTCATTTCTGGGCTCTCCATTCTGTTCCATTGATCTGTTTGTCTGTACTTTCACCAGTACCACATGGTCTTGATTACTGTAACTTCACAGTAAGTCTTGAGGTCAAGACCAATACCCATAAAATAACTTGCTGGAATTTTGATTGGGATTGCATTGAATCTTTAAATCAAGTTGGGAAGAAATGACATCTTGACAATATTGAGTCTTCTTATCCACGAGCATGAAACATCTCTTCATTTATTTAGTTCTTCTTTGATTCGTTTATCAGAGTTTTGTGATTCTCATACAGATCATGTACATATTTTGTTTGGACTCTCATAAATATAGTCAACTAAAAACAACCTGATTAAAAAATGGGCCAAAGACCTTAATATATACCTCACCAAGATATACAGATGGAAAATAAGCATATGAAAAAATTCTTCACACCATGTGCCATCAGGAAAATGCAAATTAAAACAACAATGAAATACCACTGCATACCTATTAGAGTGGCCAAAATCCAGAACACTGACAACAGTAGGTGCTGATGAGGATGTGGAGCAATAGGAATTCTCATACATTGCTGATGGGGATGCAAAATGGTACAGCCACTTTGGAAGACAGTTTGGTGATTTGCTACAAAAGTAAACATACTCATACCATATGATCCTGCAATCTCAATACTTGGTATTTACTCAAAGGAGTTGAAAATTAATATTCACACAAAAACCTTCACCAGCTCTTTATAGCATCTTTATTCACAATTGCCAAAATTTGCTAGCAACCAACATGCCCTTCAGTAGGTGAATAAACTGTGGCACATCCCAACAATGGAATATTATTCAGTGCTAAAAAGAAATGAGCTATCAAGCCATGAGAAGACATGGAGGAATTTTGGATGCATATTACTAAGTGAAAGAAGCCAATTTGAAGAGGCTACATGTATGATTCCAGCTGTATGACATTTTGGAAAAGGCAAAACTATGGAGACAATAAAAAATCAGTGGTTGCCAGGGGTAAGGGATGGGGGGAGAGAAAAATAGGCAGAGCATAGAGAATTTTTAGGGCAGTGAAAATACTCTGTATGAGATTATAATGAAGGATACATGTTATTATACATTTGTCCAAACCCATAGAATGTACAATACCAAGAGTGAACCCTAAGGTAAACTATGGACTTTGGGTGATTATGAAGTGTCAATGTAGGTTCATACTTGGTAAAAAATGTACCCTTCTGGTGAGTAATGTTGATAATGGGGGAGGCGATGGATGTGCAGGGGCAAGGAGTATACGGGAAATCTCTGCACCTCTTCCTTAATTTTGTTATAAACCTAAAACTGATCTAATAAAATAAAGTCTTTAGAAAAATAACAACAGTACCAAATGCAAGAAAGGATCCTAGGAAACTGGATCTCTCATACATTGCTGGTGAGAACATAAGATGGTACAGCTAGACTGGAAGGCAGCTTGACAACGTCTTAAAAAATTAAACATATATTTATTATACAACTCAGCAACTGCACTCCTAACCATTTACCCCAGAGAAATGAAAATGGACATCCACACAAAAACTTTTATACAAATGTTCAGAACAGCTTTATTTTTAATAGCCAAATCTGGAAACAACCAAAATGTCCTTCAATAGGTGAATGATTTAAACAAGCTGTATTACATCCATACCTTGGAATACTATTCAGCAATAAAAAAGAATAAAGTATTGGTACATGAAACAATTTGGATGGATCTCTAGAATTAAAAAAAGTGAGAAAAAAAGCCAATCTCAAAAGATCACACACTGTGTGAATACATTTATATAACCTTCTCAAAGTAGCAAAATTAGACAGAAACAGATTAGTGGTTGCCAGGAGTAAGGGATGGTAGAGGGGAAGGAAGTGGGTGTGCCTGTAAGAGGATAGTATGAGAAAGTTCTCTATGGAGATACAAAAGTTCTGAATCATTGTTTGTGTGGTGCTTATAAAAATCTACACTTATGATAAAACGTCATAGAAATATCCATACACATTGTACCAATGTCAATTTCCTGGTTTCAATATTGTACTTTAGTTATTTAAGCTGTTTAAAGAAAACTGTATGAAGGGTACATGGGGCCTCCCAGTACTATTTTTGCAACTTCCTGTAATTATTTAAAAATAAGACTGTCTTCTTGGAGCAACCCAACAGTCAAAGGTGATAAATAACTAAGAACTTCAAGAGATCCCAGTATGCTAGCCCTTTATTGGATCAAACTGAAAACTCTTTTCTACCAATGGACAATGACATTTATTTTAAATCATTTAATGAAAGATACAAATTTTATTTCCCCCTATCCACAGTGCAAACTTTCAATTTTTAATTAGTATAACCCCTAAAACTTCTATTTCTAGTGAACCTCTCACCTCACCCCCCTTTTTTTCTCCCCCAGCCAATTACTCAGTGAAATGATGTTATTTGCTTACCAGTTTGAGTCCCGTTCTCTGGCGTAAATCAACTTGGGTTCACTATGTTGACCTCTGTAATGGTCATCACATTTCCTTTATCACCACAAAAGATTTGAAGCATCTGATGGTCCTCATGCCCTATCTGAACAAATGGGGACCTACAGTTCCAGGTGCTAAACTGAGTACAGGGTTGGGGGAGGATGGTTTCTGGGTGACAGAGAGTGCAGCCAAGGAAGAGCATAAGGACAGTGTCCAAGGGAAAAGCCATAAAATTTAAGGCCACTTTGGAAGCAAAAAAGTGAAGCCAAGAGGGCTGCAGACAAGTAGAAACCAAAGAAAGGTGTGGCTAAGAAAGGAAATGGGAGCCATCTGAGCAGAGCATAAGGTTTAGGATGGTTGGTGGAGACAGAGCCTCGAGGAACTCCCTGAGGCGATGGATGGAGAGGAGACTATTAACAGGGCCAAGCCAATGGAGATGCTTGCAACAATGATGATAATCATCGTCACCATTTATGGAGCATTTATTTTATGTCAGGCATTGTGATAGGTTCTTTTTTAATCTCACAATAATTTTATGAAGTAGGTACGTGTTATCTCCATTTCTAAATTTGAAAATCTCAGTTGAATAACTTGTCCAAGACCTCGCATCTGGGAAGTGGTGGAGCAGATTTTCAAAGTCAGTTTGGTCTGCTTTCAAAGCCAATGTTCTTATGCACTACACTCAACCCCACTACCTCCTCTCAGATGTACACCTATTTGCTATCATTTATCTCTATAACTATGTCCATGTTTGTTTATCTAGATCTGTATCATCTAGAGCTAAATGTATATTTAATACAAAATACTGGAAAATAAGTTAAAAATCAGTACCACATGAAATATAAATAGGAGAATAAGACTGAAGGAAACTTATACAGGTCACAATGTCCAGCACATTTGCAAAAATTCAGGGCTTCAAATGTGGCATTTTTGCTGCTTGGTGTCAAAGCAAAAAGGGAGACATGGTCACTTTCAAAGTGCACATTGTCTATTTGGGGTAAAAAGCTGAGAAGAGTTCATTTTGGAAGGCTTCATAGAGAAAGCGAATTTGTGCAGTGTCTTTAAGGAAAGGAGGAGGCAGTGTGGTGGAAAGAATATGTTCTTCCTCAGTGATTCTCAACCAGAGGCAACTGCTGCTCCAGGACGTTTAACAGAAACTTTCAAATCGCACCCCTGATGATTGTAGATCAGTCTCTTGGGTTATGTGGCCCTCTGTTGAGAATTCCGCTACGGCGTACTGTGCTACTAATGTGAGTGTACTATGGGAGTGTACAGGCAAGAGTCTCTCTGTGTGTTGGAAGGAAAGGGAAAACAACACTGCTGCTAGATAAAGGGAGTGCCATGTCATTTATTCATTCATGTCTTCTAAAAACATTCAACATATACTATGTGCAAAGGCAAATGAGGTAGAAAAATGAAACGTGTATTGTGTCTGAGAATGGATGAGAATTAGGTACTTCTGCATGCCACACATTGGGTTAAGAGCTTTACTTATCTTATTTCATTTAATCTCCACCACAACTTTGTGAAGTAGGAGTAATGCCCATCTCTCAGGTCAGGACACTTGAGCTCAGAGAGAGAAAGTAACTTACTCAAGGTAACACAACTACAAAGTGCCAGGATAGAACGAAACTCATGTGCTTTCTGTATCTAGCCCAGCCTATTTCTACTTTCTATTTTGAGGGCCATTCCTTCTTGAACAAGTCTAAGGGGCACCATTCCCATTGAATTATGTGTAAATGGTACCCCTGGAGCATAACTGGGGAAGGAAATCAAAATGGTTTTGATGAAACA